AGTGTGTCATATTCTGTATCACATACTGTACTAATTGAGATTGTGAAAGAACAGATGCTGAACTTTCATTTCCAGGACAGGTCAGGTTTACCCAGGGAGTTCTACTGTACTGTTCAGAATTTCTTCATCTAAAAGTTATCTGTTGGCATACACATATCTTAGTCTTTTCCCTTGCTGGGTTTTAGAAATAAAATAATTGATTTAAATTGTTTTGATTTTCTGCTTTTACCAATTTGACTTAATACTTTGAGATTTTTAGGGGAAAAAACGATTTTTTAAAAGCATCAAGTGTGTTTTCACATTTGCTAAACAGTTTAAATGCATTATTTAGTTCTCAAAATCCTAGGAGAGTAAATACTGTTACAGTATTACGTCTGCTTTGTAAGAAGCGGAGGCACAGAGAAGGTAGGTTTTTGCTAAGACACGCTGCTCATTAGGTTATCAGATGGATGTTTCAGGTCTGACTGGGGAAGGACATTTCCCTCATGAGTATGTCCTGCTATAGTAGCATCGAGCCTGAGAAATGTGGCTGCTTCGGCATTACGTCAGCACCTCACGCTGTTCATTTTTTGAGTAGAATGCCCAATGAAAAAATGCTTTCATAGAATTTAGCACGCTCTCTGGCTGTTCAGTCAGAAAGGTGGAAAAATGTGGACAAGCTTTTTATTTGTTAAATATTTCGGTTTTAGAGTGTCAGAGTCATCCTAGGCAACAGATCCATCCCAAGCATTTCATAGGCGATGACGCGGTCCTGGGAGCGGGTAAGGGAGGTCAGAGCGCGTAAGGGACAGATCCTGGAACCTAATGCATAGCTCTTGCTAACTCACCAGCTTAGTGATAATTCACAAAGACTAAATGCCACCCAGAGTCTATAGCATGGAAAAGATTAATGCGTACATTTATAAATGAGGCTTTTTTTTTATATTACTTTTCTGGAGAATAATTATTGGCTAAGGAGAAACAGTAGTGGCTGTTCCTGAAGAGGAGTAGCAGCAGGAGGTGTACGGTGTGTGTATCCGGTCCTGACTGCACTTCAGAGTCCCCTCGGGGGCTTTAAAAAGGAACCTCTCAGGCTCAGCTCAGTTACTTGGAGTCTCTGCAGCCTTCCCCGGTGACTCCACTATGCGCTCTGCAGTTTTGCCTGCACTGAGGCCTCAGGCTTGAAATGAAAGATGTTTGCAATTCAGATATGTGTTAATATTCTTTTTAGTATTATTGGTCTTCTTTTGCATGACATCCGAGTTTGGGCTGTTGGTTGTTCATTTGAATACAGTCAACTTTTCTATTATTCTCTGCTCACTCTCTGATTGCGTAGTTTATGAAATCACCAACATGTAATCAGTTCTGAAGTTTTAAGATTTTTCAACATAGTGACACCCTGTCTCAAAACAAAATTTTTTTCATATTTTAAAGTTTTTGAAATCTGCCTGAGTCTTAAATTTGGCAGCCAATAGGAAGTAGTAAATCGACACATTTGGATGTATCCCTTTGTAGAAATAGCTACTTGCACTGCTAAACTGTAAGTTGTTCAATTGGAGGCTTAACTGCTGCTTCAAGTGTCTTCAGATACATGACAGTGTAATGTGTCACTGAAATGTTACTGTATTTACAGAAAATTTACATGAACATTTATTCCGTAAGTGTCAGCCACATGTTAGCTATTTATGGAGTTAGGAGTTTATGGAGCTGTTTATGGAGCTTTGAAAGCTAGGAAAGGGTACAGAACAGGTCAATTTTCTAAGCTGAGAAAAACTTGGTGTGATGAACTAAGATGTCACAAAAGAGTAACCTTGAAGTACAAGAATAGAAGCCTTTAATCGACTTTCAGGAGTAGTAGTTTAATTTGTACCAATGTATAATTCAGGTAAGAAAAATTGAAACTAAGTAGAATGCACACAGAGATCCTGGTACTGTTTTGTATGTCTTCGCGTTTTGCAAGTTGTAAGGAGAAGGTGCCGGTGTAGGTCACTGGCACGCAGTGATTCCGACAGGTTTACACGCGAAAGGAGCTCGGCCGGGGTGCAAGCCTGTGGCGCGTGCGCTGTGGCTGCTCTTTGTTACCACTGAAAGCCTGAAGGGCTCCCCGTCGCTGGCTTAGGGGATTCAGAGTTTATATTCGATGCCGAGGCAGATTATTTTCTCTCGTTAGTGATAAAAAATGCTAGTAAAATCAAGTCATCAGTTTTAAGAGTTTGCGCTAGAAAAGATGTTCTAATGATATTAGAGATTTTTAGGTGAAACTGGAAAATAGTTGCTTTAACTTTTGTGAATTTTGTGAACTAATTTAGATAATTGTGTTTGTCTATTGTTTGTATACAGTTCCCCCTCATAATTACTATACTGAGACAAACGTGGTAAAGGGTTACCTCAGAATGCTTACCTGGCTGAATTACGGTAACATTTGTCAGCCTGCTCTCACTGATGGAAAATGCCTTTGGGGAATGAGGACTTGGGGGAAAAGCTGAGACACCATGTCCGCACCCCTTTGTGGTCCTTAGTGTGACACTGATTGAAGAACACAGGACATTGAATGTGCTATAATAATGCTCTGTTTCTGAAGATCATTTAGGGAACAGTGTCTCTCTTGGTCTGGTATAATGTAATCATTGTAGAGTGTTTCTTTGTTATTTTAGAAAGAGCACTTCCATATCAGTACCACACAGGTGAGAGAGCAGAAGTTTCCTTTAGTACAGTGTTTCAGAATACTTAAAACAACAGGATGTTGGGCAGGTAAATGCGAGTTTGGGATTTTAAATAGAAAAATACATAAATTAGATGGGCTTATGTTTATTTTGTAAGAGTCCCTGTCTAAACTTTCTTCTTTAGTATAAACATCCAGTTATATAACTGTACAGACTAAACAATAATCCCTAACTTACGATGGTTGGACTTAGACTTTTTTTGACTTTACAATGATGGGAAAGTAACACAATTTTAGAAGAAACTCTTAGAATTTTGAGTTTTAGCCAGGCATGGTGGTGCATGCCTGTGATCCCAGCACTCGGGAGGCTGAGGCAGGAAGATTGCTGTAAGTTCAAGGCCAGCCTGGGAAACAGATCCTCTCAAACAAAAAAGACCGATTTTTTTTTTGAGTTTTGATCTTTTCCCAAGCTAGCAATGCAGTGTGATACTCTCTTGAAAAGCTGGGCAGCAGCAGGGAGACGAAGCACACAGTCACGAGGGTAAAAAGAACCAACGCACTATGGTGTACAGTGTAGCTAAAGAGGTGCTTTTGTAGGTTAAGTGGACCAAGTGTTTTCAACCTATGATATTTTCAACTTGTGGATTTATTGGGACTTAACCCTGTTGTAAATAAATGGGTATCTGTATTTTGTTACAATTTAAGGCTGATGTTTCTAAATCAATTACTGGTCAAGAAACCTGGCTCAATGTTTTTAGATGCTGATAAAAGTGTTCCATTAAATTATGGTCATTTTTACAGACAAATGATAGCAGCATTTCCTAGACCAGTTCTTCTTGCCTTGAGGAGGTACTCCATGGAAGTTGATTAGGGTACCCGTTATGTTTGCCTTCATAAATTACTTAAACACTGGATTCAAGTTGTCTTTATAAATAAAAATTGTAAATATTTAATGTACTTTGTTATGGTAGTGTTTCTTTTAATACATGTTTGCAGATAGCATTATCTGCTCTGTTACCATATTTGTAAAATTTGAATCAAGCAATATTGATTTTATTTCAGGTTAGCACAGATTTTGCCTATGCATACAAATCTCTGCAAACACATTTTATTATTTAGAAACAACCATTTATTTAAAAAGTAGATATCAAGTTAGAAAAAGAATACCTGAAATGATAAAATACAATAAAACTCCTCAGTTAATATCTTCCCTACAGATTGCTTTCTTTGCAAATATACTTACTGACACACAGGAAGGAAAAGTTTAGCAACAAGAATAGCTACAGTATGTTCTAAATAAGAAATACAAACTCAGAGATGAAACCATTTTTTAAGAAAAATAATTATTGATCCATTTTCAATATATACTGATTGATTGGATTTTGCACTTTAGAGCGAAAACCTTGAACTTGCTGAGGACTGCTAAGTTATAATACCCAGACCTTAGCTGTTGTTCCAGAGTAGTGACAGATTAGTATAGTCACTTTGTCTGAAACCCGGTATAAGCAGATCTTTTAATTTTAGATGTTACTAAGCTCTGTTGGTGCCACAGCTGATCCTTCCACAGTTCCAGATTCCACA